AGCCCCCAGCCCCCAGCCCCCAGCCCCCAGCCTCCAGCCCCAGCCTCCACAGCCAGTAGTTAAGGAAGGGCGTTAAAGACCTTTGCTCAGAGCTATTCGGCATTAGCCCTGGCTCCAGCTGGTGATAATGCCTCTGTGGTCCCAAGTAGTCTGTCTGCTGCCCTAAATCCAGCCTGGAAAGCTGTTGATAGACACTGGCACCCTGCCATCTGGGTTTTAATCCAAGCTCTGCCCTTTTTTTAACTCCCCAAGGTTTGATTGCTTATTTGTTACTTTTAAAGACTCTTATTTTTGTCTGGACTCAGACTTGCAGAAGCTCTCAGCGAGGACCGCGCTATGTGTCCTGGCAATCTGTTCCTTGTGTTTTACTTTGCCTTCCTTCATTCGCTTGCCCAAAAGTTTAGCATATTTCTGCAGCCTCCTCATTTTTTCTTAGTGTGTTGTTTGTTCAGAACAGTATGTTGGTGTTTGTGTTGCAGGACACACGGAGGGCTAAAGCCTGGATGCTTTGGTCTCGGGGCTTCTTACCTTCAGTGGTTCTCAACCTGTGGGTCACGACCCCTTCGCGGGTCAAAGGACCCTTTCACAGGGGTCGCCTAAGATCATAGGGGAAAACAGATATTTACATTATGATTCATAGCATTAGCAAAATTACAGTTATGAAGAAGCAACGAAAATAATTTTATGGGTTTTTTTGGGGGGGTCACCATAACATGAGGAACCATATTAAAGGGTCACAGCATTAGGAAGGTTGAGAATCTTAAACTTTAAGGGCTTTCTGACTGCTTTCAAAGTTTCTCATCCTGCTGGCTCTTTTGAGTCCCAACCACGGAGGCACAGTGGTATATGTCAGCTCAGGACTATCCTTCTCTCTCTTTTTTCTTCTAATAACCAAGCTGGGATTAGCATCCACAATGCAACCTTGAACAGGCTTGCACATCCCCTTTCCTCTTCTCCTTGGTCCTCCACTTTTCATCCAGAGCATCCAGCTACTTCTATGGTCATGCAATGTAGCAAGCTTTCTTACTGGACTATCTTTAGATCGCCAGTCCCAAATAATGACAAAGAGACTTACTATTAATTATGAAAGCTTAGCCTTTAGCTTAGGCTTGTTTCCAACTAGCTCTTATAGCTTAATTAACCCTATTTTATTTTATTTTTTTATTTATTATTTATTTATTTGGTTTTTTGAGACAGGGTTTCTCTGTGTAGCTTTGAGCCTTTTCCTGGAACTCACTTGGTAGTCCAGGCTGGCCTCGAACTCACAGAGATCCGCTTGGCTCTGCCTCCCGAGTGCTGGGATTAAAGGCATGTGCCACCACCACCCGGCCTAATTAACCTTATTTTAAAAATCTACATTCTACCACGTGGCTTGGTTACCCCTCCTCAGTATGACACGTCCGACTTGCTCTCAGTCTGCTGGCAAAATCCACATGCCTAGATTCCTTCTCCTCTTCCTCTCTCTTCCCGGAAGTTTTGCCTATCCTCTCCTGCCTAGCTATTGGCCATTCAGCTCTTTATTAAACCAATCAGAAGGTGCCTTAGGCAGAGATGCATCTTTACAGTGTAAGCAAATATTCCGTAACAATGTACTTCTTGCAGGAAGTGTGAGATTTGCCTCCATGTCCACTCCAATGAGTTTCTGACAGCGGATGCTGGGCAGGAGCTATTCATCCTCATCCTGGTGCAGTTGCCCTGGGGGGGGGCACGACAAAGAGCAGCTCTGCCCCTTGTTAATGACGTAGATGAGTTGCTTCATCTTTTTTTCACTTAGTCCCCATTCACAAAAATGAAGAGAATAAGAGTAGCTGTTATATATATATATTGTTGTGTTATTGTGCAGGCACCAGAAGTTTAAAATATAAACTATGGATAACAGTGAGAAGTAGCACTTGTGAACTGTGATGGAAATGACCCAGATTCCACATTATCCTGTGAATTGTAAGCGACATCATTCCATATGAATTATCAGCGCTAATCTCATCCCTGTGCAGCGGCTGTAGATCCTTCTTAGAAGGTGTCCAGTATTTCTGAGGAGCAGTCTTCATTTCAGTCAGGCAATGGGTGTGGGACCCCTGCCATTGAGCCCCTCCCCCCCAGGTGGAGCTTTGCAGTGTGTGGAGGTCTTTCATGTTGGCCCCCTTACCGTATCTCTGAAGGACACTCACTCTGGTCTTCTCAAGGTGGTGCTCTGCTGGTGTGTGTCATTCTGAGGGGTGCAGAGTCCTTGTCTAGGCCACCAGTCACTCATCATCGTTATGTTGAGCCTGTGTCCGGCCTCTCCTGCATCTTTCACGTTGCTGGTACCCTGGACTTGTCTACCAAGTTCCTAACTGCCAAAGTGTGCATTTTTAGAAGTGTCTACCCTGACATAACTTTAGAATAACTTTGTAAGCCTTTGCTCATGTAAAGTGAGTGTGGATATCTATACACTTCAGATGTGGGGGGAGTTAAAACATCTCTACATTTTTTTTTGGTAATAGCTTTATTGAGATATAATTCACACATCATACATGTCACTCATGTAGAATGTAATTGCCTTACAGAGTTGTATTACCATCACTATAATGAATTCCAGAATCTTCCCACACCACCTTTCCCCCTCAAATCTTTACTTTCTAGCAGTTGCTTCTCATTTCTCTAGCCCCATGTCCCCACAAATCTACGTTCTTCCTGTGATTGCCTACTCAGGACATCTCCTCCACAGGGACACTATGTGGCCTTTTGTAACCTACATCTTTCATTTAGCATGAGTTGAAGGTTCATCCTTGTCCTAGCCTGCGTCAGTATTTCGTTGTTTTTCAATGCCAAGTGATTTTCACACTTTTCTACTTGAATAGTTGATTCAGCGTCTCATGTCCCTATATCACAGAGCTGTCTAGAAATTCACCTTCAGCCATTCAAGTGCTCACGGATGTGGTGTCAAGGGTTTGGGCTTTCAAGTAGAGCTGCAATGTCAGAGTCAGGAAGGCAGTCATCTAATGACCATGTGGGCTAGGAGATGTCTCTGCTCCCTTTCATGAGGTTCTTCAATTGTCAACCCTCAGGCCATTTTGCTAATCTTTAGAATATGGGAACTATTGCGGTTGGAGAAGCCAGGGCTAATGTTCTACTTTTTAAAAAAAAAGTCAGGTATGGTGTCACAGGCCTCTAATGCCAGCACTTAGGAGGTACAGTGTATGTGTGTTGGTGGTGGTGGTAGGATCCTCCTGTCTTTGCCTCCCCATTACTGAGATTAGGAATACACAGTCTGTGTCCCAATGGCCAGCTTTTATGTGGGTGCAGGTGGCTGAAGTCAGGTCCTCACTCTTGTGTGGTGAACCACTTTGCCAATGGGGCATCTTTCTAGCTCCCAATGTTTCACCCCAAGGTGCAGCAGTGGCCAGCATCTCTGAGGTCCTGCTGTGTCCTCAGGACCACGAGAGAATACATGAGACCTTGGATTCCGAGTCCTCCATCAACTCTGAGTTTTATTTTAGAAAAGGGGTGTTCTTCCCTCAGGTGGAACTGGAGTCTACTGTTATTTTAGTCTTCTGAAAACAAAAGGCAGGAATTCCAATTTTCAGTTTTCCTAGAGTGAGAAGATATCGCAAGAGGGAAAAACAGATGGGGAATGATGTTAATGCAAAAAAAATTATCTTGCTTTGGAGTTCATTTCTCATCGTTCAAATCTCAACACCAGTGTGGTTTCATAATGTAGTTGAGCATTTTTATATCTATCTATCTATCTATCTATCTATCTATCTATCTATCTATCTATCTATCATCTATCTATCTATCTATCTATCTATCTATCTATCTATCTA